GGTTTCGAAATATATAAATTTACTAAACACCTATATTTAATGGTTTAGATAAAACCGCTAACCGTTACCTCAAAACTGCTATGCCAAACGGGGCCCTAATCTGTTTACAACATTTAAAGATATTAAGATAAAAGTGCCTTACAAATCTATTGCTTCCAAAAACAACTCATAGCAGCAGGCCTATAAGGACAGCATCGAGAAGGAGACAAGATGCTACAGAATCCGATCACCAATACTTCAAAGTTCCAGTTAGTTGATCCACCTCTATTCGGCTTCTGAAGGCCTCCCTTGGGGTTTTAAGATTGAATAATGATAAATAAGATTGAAATTTGAGATTAAAATATAAGATTAATGATGTGGCGTAATTAATTCACGTTATTTAAAATATTAAAAAGTAAATTTTATATTATTTAATAATTAATTTTTTTATTTTTTTAAAACTCATAATATTATATATCAACTAATTTAATAACGTAATATAAATTAAGTTATTGATGCTAAATTTTCATTTCAAATTTATATCCTCCCAATTATTACTTTTTAAGATTACATCAATTTGATCGGGATTTTAAGAATATTTGAACGAAAAACCAATAAAAATATAGATATAATCAATTATTTTTCCTAGGAATAATCAGCAATTTTCATCTGCAACGTTTTCCTTCGGTTTCAATTAATGTCTAATATTCCTTTTACGTACATCAGTAAAAAATCAAGGAATACATCTAATATAAGAGGGGATAACACTTTCTTTTTTTCAAATCTCTTTCCACCTAAGTATTAATGAAACATATTCCTCAAAAAATAAAAGGAAAATATTTTTATTATTTATCTCTTAATTTAATAGAAAATTATCAATATTAAGACTTAACTATTCCTTATTTTTAAAAAGTTTCTGAAATTTAGCTTTGTCGTCCATGAAGCACATTTCTAGATATCTGTCTCCTTTTTGTCATAATTAAAATTATGTATGATCATAAAAAATTAATGTTGTATATATGGAAGACAATTAGTGCGAGTAAACACTGAAATTAGGACTAAGGAGAGATACCTGAGTTGGTATTTATTAATTTAAAAAATTTAAATTTAGGATCAAGTACAAGGGTTCAAATCTTTGTATTGTCAAGCAACTAATTTATCCAATGTACAAAAAAATAAAAAATAAAAAACAGTGAAATAAGGACCAAACATGCTGCATGGCAGTATCATATTCGCAAGATACCGAGCATGGAAAGAGTGTGCTTACCAAATATAGGGATAGATTAAGAATGGATTATAGAGGTCTATACTTATTTATACTCGTTACTAATTGTTGATGGACGTTTTTGTAAAAGGTCAAACTCGGACTTGGGTAGTCCCCACATTACCAAGACCTACCTCGATCTAAGCACCCCTTAATGCCTTCAACACACATTTACCAAAAGGCCCAACAATATATGATGCTGTAATACATGGTTAGGCCTAGCAATATTTGATGCTATGATACATGACTAGGCCTAGTGGTATCTAATGTTACAATACATGGCTGCATTGCCAGAAATACATAAGGAAGTCTCTTTCCTTTATTATTTCTTTATTTATTAAATTTCATCATTTTCATCAACTAATCACTATTCCTTTATGCAGGTCATCAATAAACCCATGAATCCAAACTCATAGGGATATTTGGGATAAACTATGGGAATAGTGGCTTGGCAAGCATGGATGGGTGAACGTTGCCTGTCTGGCGAAGCAAGGTATTCGCGCTAGCGAAGCTTCGGTCTAGCGATGTTGCCTTACTTCGCCCGAAAGGGCTAGGTGGCAAAGACGTGGAGGCAAACTTGATCCCCAAAACAGTACTTTTTGATGCTAACTAGAAGCTTAAAATCCCATTCAAAACCAACCAGAGATGCTGTCTTGGTCACCATCAGCAACATGCAACTGTATTCAATGCAAAAGGTGGCTACACAAGTTCCATGGTTTCCAAAATTGTTGAAAAAGATCTGATTTCACTGGGAAAATCTACCAAAATCTTGGGCAGACCTTGGAAATATACCAATATCCTGGGCAGCCTTTAGGAATCTTCTAAAATCTTGGACCGACCTGATTTTGCCGGTTGCACTCAAATACCCCCCCAAAAATGGTATTTCGTATGGCTAGAAAGTTACCAAAAATGGGTGGTGTTTAGCAAATTAGCAGTGCTTCGCTAGAACTAGTAGTGTTTCGCTGGAACCACTGGGTAATTCATAATATCACTGTCGAAAAGCTGTCAGCAATGCCTAATGCCACTCAAAACTCGACAGCTCACCCAAATCCACCCAAACCCATCTATACACCTCTGACCCATCAACCCAAAAATTACAAAAATGTCGCTGCACATAGATATATTATTTTTCCTTCATTTTTCAGCAAAATAGACAAGATTTTTCACAACTTCAACTTCCCTCTCACGTACCAAACCTCCATTTTTCCTCTAAAAAATCCTTCATCCTCACCCATTCACTCTACACATCAAAATCACTCAAGAATCATCATTTTTTTTCATATTTTCTACACTTCCAATGTTGCAAAATATTTTCCAGACTTGTAGAATATCATGGCTAGGAGACAAAACATCATGGCTTGGAGACAGCATGTTGTAGCTTCAATTTCTAGGTTATCTTCTTGAACATTAAAGGATCAAGCTAAAGAGTTAGCATTAAAAACAAAATCAAGCCCTCCATTCACAAGCCCCCACAATGGTCATCCTTCCTTCTCCCATCACTACTTTCAAGTTTATTCCTTTTTGTCTTGATAAAGCTTGAAGGAGACCATTGTGCATTTTATCTACAACGTGAAGGTTGCTCATTATAGAGTGAGAGTATTTGTCAAGGATAATAAAGGGCACATTTATTGTTTTTGCTATGGTGCTACAATATACTATATAAAAATGTGCTTCTCAAGTTATAATTTTAAACCCTTATATATTTTCTATCCTTGCTGCTCTTACATCAATGTACATTTCATTTTCATTATAATTGGTAGTTGTGTAATCACTCTTGTTATCTTGGAAGTGTCATCATCACCCCACTCTTTCTAGCTTGGTTGGGGACACTCTATTCCCAAACTTCGCTAGAAAAGCTCTATTTTTAAACTTTGCTGAAGAAGCACTATTTCTAAACTTCGCTGGAGAAACTTTACTCCTGATTTGGCTGGAAAACTTACACCTTTAGGCTTTGTTGGAAAATTTACTACTGACCAACATTATTGGGTAGAACGAGACAACCCATGGCATGTAGCCTCTCGCACGTGAAATAGGTGCCCCCAAAAGGACATTTCACATCATTCATGGGTGGCATCCTAGTCAACCTCCACATCATCACCGTGTTGACTCATCAACCTACATCACCAGCACACCCGAACAAAAATGGCAACTCTACTAAGGAGATCATCTTAGAGCTTCGTCTTGTTTTGCTCTTCTTCAGCAGTGTAATATCTTTAGTATTCTTCCTCAACAATATTTATTCGTTTTCAACAAAATTTTTCTGACCATGCTTGTCACAAGAACAACTTTATCTTTGGTTGCGGACAGAAATCAAGAGCCTGACCAAGATGATGGACATGAAGTTCAACAACTATGTCCACCGCCACACATTTTTTATGATCTCTTGCAAGGAATCACTAATCCTAATCTCGCATCTCTAGTTCAAGTTATTCGGGTCTTGCATGAGGGTTAACAAAGAACTACTCAACTTCTCACCAACTTGCAAGTTCATCATATTGTGCAGGATCTAACGTAACCAGTCAACATGGCTGTGACGTCCTAGCCACAAGATGTCCAAATTGGGGCTACCAATGGTAATAGGGGCTTTACTACATAGCCTAGTAACTCAGCATTGCCAGTAATTACAATCACCAGCACTGATGAAGCTCCACCTAACGCAACCAATTCTACTCAAGGCTTCATCACCATGGCAAATCTTACTGCTCTCTTGGACAAGGAGCATTCCAGACAAAGTTTAGCCACTTTTTAGTTCATCTGTGATCCACCCTATCAAAAGGAGATTTTGTCCAAGCCCTACCCAAAGAACTATGAAAGTCCTACATCCTCGCAATATGATGGGAGAAAGGGCAGCGATGTAAAGCATGTCAGCAAGTTCCTCGATGCCATGGGGGTTCACGCCGACAATAAAGACTTGTGCCTACGTGAGTTGTCAAAATCTCTCTCCAATAGAGCTTACACTTGGTATACTACTTTGCTCCCTAGATTTATTCACTCTTAGAATGAGATGGTTGAGCAATTTTGTCAAAAATATTTTCAAAGTGAAAAGCGCATCACCATTCTTGATCTTCATAATACTCGCCAATGTGCTAGCAAAGACTTGGTGGTTTATGTAAAAGGTTTAAAGATTTGGCACTTGATTGCTATGGTCGCCATGCTGAATCTTTCTTGGTAGAGATCTGCATCAATAACATGTTCCCAGAATATCATGTCATCCTTGAAAATATCGGGATCAATCAGTTTGCAAGGCTACTCAATGTTGCTAGGAGAACAACCATTTCTGTCAAAGCTATCTCTGTTGAAAGTCTATAGTGAAGTTGACAAAAAAGAAGGCCACTGCTCACACCTCAACTGTCCATGCAAAGCAAAGCAGAATGTCTAGCTTTTGAAGTCAAGAATGAAATATCCTATAAGCACTTTATGTCTCCTAACGAAGCTGATCATTTTACATCGCCAGACAAGCTTGCCTATAATTTTACCTCGTCCACATTATAGTCTTGTGGCTTCAAACCAACTAACGGTATTATCCGTTTACACAAGTAGCATTTGAATATTTTAGATTTGCTTATACATCAACTGTATTGCTAGCACTTGAGTCACATCATTACCAACCTGCCAGAGATGTTACTTCTCTTACATAGCCAGTTTTAGTGCCTTTCTAAGGTTTGCTGGCGATGTCATCTTTCATGACCAGTATTTGTGCCTCTACATGGCTTGTTGGCGATGTCATCTTTCATGACCAGTATTTGTGCCTCTACA